TAAATTGTCTAATGCATTTCAATTGCTTTTTTTTTTTTTTTTTTTTTTAAAGTTTAAGATCTTAAAGAACCCTGTCGCTATACAAAATTTTCACAAAGAGATGTCTGTAAGGCCTCATTCACGCGAAAGTGTTGCCAACCATCCATCATATATAACTCTATGGAGATGCAGGAGCGATATGCCTTCACATGCTGCTTTCCAAAGCTGAGTGTCGATAGCTGCACACGGATGATGCATAACCTCACATGCAGACGGGCGGCATTTGGGTCTGTAGACAGTTTGTGCAGAAAGACGGCAACAACCAGCCCCGCACGATGTACAATATAGAGCAACATGCCCACGAGATTGAGAGCTAAGAGTAGTCACTAGCACCACCAACATGTTCATGGAAAATTGTACTTCGATGTCTCCTGGTTAACTGATACTGAAGGGTTTGTTGTTTTTTGTAAAGCGACTTTTGTTGTTACTGTATCGCCATCCACCTAGAACTAATGCCTAATCTTTGGGAAGTTGCATATATTTGGATTAGCCATGGGCTATTGCTCCCTCAGAGGGACTCTTTCCAGATTTTTGCAGCTCCAGCCTTCCTTGTGACCACTGTTATTGCTGTGGGGTGGGCCAGAGACCGTAACCAATGGAGAAATGGGTTGACCACACTTGTGTTTTTCAAAGTGTGTGTTTGTTCATTTAGGCCACATTTTTAGCTTATGAACGTGTGTGTTTTCATCCTTTTTGTTAAAACTTAGGTCGTTCAGTGTAATGATGACACGTTGCTTACTGCCATACTACACATTTACATATGTTTGTGGCTTATATTTATTTATTTTATCTTAATGCAGATCAGAGAAACTGAGACAATGGACCCTAATGGTATGTTTGATGATATCATGGAGTCCTCTGGATCCCTACCTGATGATGAGGATTTGGATGACCATTATGAGGATTCAGATTCAGCTGATGAAGGCTCTGGTTCTGGAGGTAAACCTTGTTTGCATCACTTAAAAGAAAGCATTTGTAGAACCTTCCAAATAGTGGTATCAGAATCTCCTTTTCTAATGAAGCACCGAGGGGCATATTGGGCATCTCATTGGTAAATGAACATACCGAGCATGCTCTGTGACGCATACTGGGCCAGTCACCCCAATATGAATATTTATACAAGCTGGCTTTACATCTGTTAAAATGTAATATGCAACCAGTTGAACAGGCTTAATAAAATGCTTCAAGGACATTGCTTTAATGTACTGTTAACGGGACATGCCCACTTTAAAAGCCAGATAACTGCCATGCCTAGACAGGAATATAAACAAAATATATATTGGTTGTGCATATATACTTCTCTTGGTATGCCTTCTTAAATGTGCCAAAAGTATATCTCGGATGCCTACAAGACGTGTTGAAACCTATTTGCCACATAAATGCATAGGAAAGATAAACAAGGTGTGGTTATAAAAGACTTGGGAAAACAAGATTTAGTGCACTGAGCTGCTTGTGTTCTAAGTAAACATACAAGTCTTCTGAAATGTTATGGGGGATCTATAGTATTTTTAGATAAAATAGTGCAATTGTATGTCTTTTTTGAAAATCTGGTAGCTAAACCTTGTTAGTAATACCTTACAGCTACTCAGATGTCTTTGCTAGGCTCCAGTTTGGCTGTTGCTCTAGAACTTCATGTGTGCCCTTTTAATAGTTACATGTTCTAAAAAATGTAGGACCTGATTTTGTCATGTTTACCCCTTATGCGGCACATATTTTGGAGATTTTGAAAGATGTCTGGTAAGCAGAGTAGAACACTGTACAAAATGTTTTCAATTTAACCAGTTGACATCCGCGGTGTTAAACCCCCTTCCCATCCAGGCCATTTTTCAGTATTCAGCGCTGCGGTACTTTAACTGACATTTATTCCGTCATGCAGCGCTGTACTGAAATGAATTTTATACCCTTTTTTGGGGACAGATAGAGCTTTCTTTTGGTGGTATTTATTCACCACTGGGGGTTTTATTTTTTTACTATATTAAGGAAAAATTACCGAAATTTAAAAAAAAAAAAGTTTCCCCTATATTAAATGATAAAACATTTATTATTACCCAATTTTTTGGTAAAATATAAAAGATGGGGTCACGTCGGGTAAAAAGACACTAAACATGTCAAGCCTTAAAATTGCGTGCGCGCGCGAAACCTCAAACGATAATACCCAAAATTGGCCATAGGCGACGCTTTAACAGTTGTTCCTGCTCATCAGTTTAGTGTTATCAGTGATTGATGGCTCTAATGTTACTTTTATTTTTTTTAATTTATATTTATTTTTTTTTGCACTTATTGGTATTGCGCGCGAGCAGAAAAAAATTGCCGTCTGGAGACGGCAACCCGCAGATGCAGCAGTGCCGTCCGTCCGTTTTTTTACTGCGGACGGCAAGAGGTTAAATTGGGAACATTTTGTACAGTCCATTGCTTACCAGCATTATTGCAGAGCTAAGGTTTACATCCAATGCATGCTTGGGGGAATAAGAAAATGTACATATGCATTAATACAATTGCTAGTCAACCACGGAGTTCTTTTTTACTAATGGCTTATCTATGCTCCATACCTGGCATATCTTTTGAGTCTTCTTAAAATATTAAAAATAATGTAGCTTAAATGGGGTATATGTACTATATTTTAAGTATCTCCTTTGAAAACCCCTGTAACAAACATTTTTGGAAATTCTTGTTTAAGAAACTGCAGAAATGTTTATTAATCTGTTTCTATAAGTGGATTTAACATTGTCCATCTGACTCATGCCATTCAAAGTAGTCTGTGTGCTTACTACCCCTTTGGTTTACTAAACCTGCTAAGGCCTTTGAAATGTATACTGATATTTTATCTTAATCTGCTTTCCTTTACAGATGAAATGGATGACCTTGAATCGACTCCAGACACACCCACTGTGAGTATTGAGTTTAGAATGTACTACTGCATCACTCCAATCCTTTGCTTAGGGGGTTTTGGAACTGTTCCTTTTGTGCACTTGTCTTATGTGCTTTTTTAAGTTTTTAGGATATGTAATTCATATGCTCATTGAATATTGTGATGCATAGTATATCATGTAGGTACATGTTGTAAATACAAATTTGAGCATATCGTGTGTGTGTGTGTGTTCACCCCCAAGAGTGGTCTTTTGGATTTCTGCTTCTTGTATTCAGAATCCTTGGAAATATTTTTAGTAACTGCTTCGTTGTGATTCCAAAGCATGGTCTCACCACACTCTGAAGAGTTCAGTTGGGGAAAAGGTGTCAAAGCTTTTTTTCAACTGGTCATATTGCATTCACCCTCTCCATTTTTATGTTGTGGAGATTTATCGAATCTGCAGCCCCTATCAAGGAAATGGATTTATGTGCAAAAAAAATTCTCGCTGTAAAATGCATTTATTCTTGGCTAAGGAGAGACTGTTACCATAGCTAGCAGTTTCTTGGCGTTCCTCAACCCACTTTAGTTGAATACCTACCGAGCCATCTTGTTGTGGTAGATAAATCATAGTACATGCTGTTACAGAGTACAATTACACTTTTTTTTCCAAATCACTTTGCAAGCTGGGACTATTTTTTTTGTAATTTTAAACTTCTTCTTTTTAAAAAAAAAAATCTAATTGCAGACTACGATGGGTAACAAAATTCCAGAAAACGACTTCCGAGGCCCAAAGAACGATATCGATGTCTTCCAGACTGGCAATGATATAATGGTCAAAAAGAATGCCTTACCTAATGGAGCTGAGCAATCGAACGAAATCTCCATGGCTAGTACTGTTAACAGCTTCTTCAGCAAGACTGAAGTTATAGTCGGTAGGTTATTTGTTAACTTTCCTTCCAAGGAATAAAAGTGTATGTATTCTCTTATGTACAGATGGTTTCAAGGTATTGTTCCTGTTTTGTGCATACTGCCAAATTAATCTGAACAGGCTTTATTGTTTTCCTCCCCATTAATTCGAAGGAAGGAAAAGCAATGTGAATTGTGCATTGTTTTATCTCAGGACATACAAAAAAAACAAATGCACTTTTGTCAGTTCTGAGCACAGGGAATAATGCCTGTAACATAGTGTGACTTTAGTTGCTTTGGCCTTTTTCATATAAAGAGTTGGAGACAAAGGAGTCACAACTTAAAAACATATTACTGGGTTTGACCTTTTTGTATAAATCAGTAATATGTACTGCATGTGATAAAAAGGCCACTGGCTGAAGCAGTGAGTGTGCTTGTTATTTAACTCTGCTATTTGCATATTGAGTAAAACATGAATGTACTTTAAATATAGTTGCTTCATGTGGACATGTATAAAGATTTAAATTTAGATGACACATCGTGGGTTTTTGTTGAATGATTTCAGGATAGGGAATTTATTATGAAATCTGATTTGAATCTCATTTTATGTAGTATGCAGTGTAGAAGCGCCCAGCAAATGTAATTGTTGTCAGTGTATCTTTAAGAGGGGTGGGGGGGGGGGGACCCTTGTGATTGGGGGGTT